TTTCAAATAGGTCAATGATTGATCATAGTAGCATATTTAGTGTACGGATCTGGTGGCAGTGTGCTGAACAGAGTGGATGAGGGTGCCTGGGAATATGGGCAGGGAGATAGATTTGGGGGAGATTAGCTGTATATGGGACCCTTGAGGAACCTGAGGGCTGGCTAAGCAGTGCATTGTGGGCTGAAGTTCTGGGGGCTCAGTGGAGGCTGAGCTGGAGTTGTGGAGTTGAGAGTCAAAGTGGCTGAAGGAAATGAAATCACAGTCTGGGTGAGGGAAGCAATTTTCAGGTGTTCATTGTCCATTTATACACCATTTTCTGAAATAAATCCCCCTGAGAAGTCAACTTCCCACTTTACAGGAAAAAGGCACATCTCTTGCCTTTCCACCATCTTATTACGATGTGTTTGGAGAGTGTAGAAAAACCTGGGCTCCAAACAAAGGGGCCATTCTAAATACTGATGCAGGTGTGAGAAAGTGAGTGACTAAGGACTGGGCGACACTTCCTTTTACAAATCAGGTGGTTTAGGCTGTTTGCTTTTAACATGTTTGGAGGGAGGCCTAAACATAACTTTTGATGATAGATTACAAAGGGGTTGTGGGGCTCTGGCTAGCCTGGATGTCAAAGATTTGAGCAACATGGCTGTAAGTAGAATACTTCCATTCCTTCACTTGTGTATTTTGAAATGTTTCTCAGTGATCGCATCTGTAAAAAAACAAAAAAACAAAACAAAATAAAAAAAAACCCAACCCAAAACGTAGTAAAATAATATTATGCCAAACTGTTTCAGTGTGATTGAAAGGCATCCACAGACCCATGAACTAATAATTGGAAAATAAACCCAGCTCATCTCTATGAAAGGATATATTTCCAACAAAATTTTACTTTTTATGTTTAATAGTGGTCAAATTTTGCAATGTACTTCTGATGTTTTGATTAACTGTGTACTACAAATAATTGGAAATTATTACTACTCAGTCCAATTTTTGTGTGTGTATTTGGTGAATTATAGTCACAAAAACTTTATTTTAATTTTTATTTCTAATTTTTAATTGTAAAATTGTAAATTAAAAAAATTCTAAATTTTTAAATTTACATATATAGTTAGTGGATGAGGTACATGAAAAGCTTATTGATTAAAAAAAACTTTGAAACATAGAAATAAATCGGGTTTAAAATCTGTGGGTACCACAAACATTTGTACTTGGATGTCTATTGTAGCATTGTCCATAATAGCCAAAAAGCAGAAACAGCCCAAATGTCCACCAACGGATGAATAAACAAACTGTAGTATGTCCATATAATGGAATGTTATTGGATAATAAAAGGGAATGAGTACAGATACATGCTGCAACATGGATGAACCCTGAAACATTATGCTAAGTGAAGAAGGAAGCCAATCACAAAAGACTACATATTGTATGATTCCATTTGTATGAAAGGCCCAGAATAAGCAAACCTATAGACAGAAAGTAGACGCGTGGTTGCTTAGGGCTGTGGTAGGGGGCCAGGGAAGGGGGAGTGATTGCCAATCGGTGCAAGGTTTCTTTTTGGGGTGATGAAAATGTTTTAACATGGATTGTGGTGATGATTGCCCAACCCTGTGGATATGCCAAAAACCATTACATTATACACTTTAAGTGGGTGAATTGCATGATATGTGATTTATTTTTCAAGAAAGCTAGTTAAAAAAACTGTGAGGCAAATGGAATGGAAATAGGACTTAAAACAGAACAAAGAGTAGTGTGCAATTGCTGACTATTAAGGATCAGGCGCATGTACAAAACGCCATAAACTAGATTCTTTGCGACCACTTGAACTTGGGTTAAAATGTGAATGTCACACTAGATACTGCATAGGAGTTTGTAGATTTTTATTTTAGGAGATTCACGAGCAAAATGTTTCAAGCCCAAGCGATGAAATCTCCTAAGGAAATGGTTAGATTAAGACCACAGCCCTGCAGGAGGAAAATTAGGCACTGTAGCATTCAAGGAAAATGCTAAGGCACGACTAAGAGGCAGAAGGAGACAGAGAGGACTGTTTCCGGGTGGAAGGAATGTCAGGGGTCGCCTGGACTGGGCCAGCCAAGGACTCCCAGCCATCCATCGGATCCAATTGGCAATTATGGAGTCATTGACCTTGGCACTCTCCTTTTTAACAGACGAACTGCAATCCAGCACAAAGGCTGGTGACTGGAAGCAGAGTTGAGAGAGGTTAGAGAAGAGAGCAAGAGGGAGGAAGTGAGGACACTGGCTGTGGACTGCGCTTAAGAAGTTAGAACACAGAGATAATGGGGCAGCAGTTTGCTAACTTTGGGGAGAAGTGGTGTAAAGGTAGTTGTTACTACTCTGCAATGCAATCAACTTGAACACATTTGTGGATGAAATGTGAGAGAGTGAAGACGGGGAAGACGGTCATTTCTGCCATGGGCAGAATGTTCTGCACATCAGCCAGCTTGCTTCAGAGTTGTGCCTCTCTCCTCCGGCGAGCTGGGTCTGTCCTCACTCGGGAGTTCTGCGGGACCTCCCAAGTCCTTGTTCAGGCAACAAGCCACTATCTTCACATACTCGGTTTCCTAAATGGCTTATCTCATTTTTAATGTTGCAGATGTTTCGGGCTCTGTGCTCTGACCGGGTAAGGGTGGGGGTGGATAACAGGCTTGTTCCACATTCTTTTGAATTTGACTGATTTAGGGTAAGAGTGGCTTCTAAAAATTTCTTGGGTGGGCGTGAAAACAGAGGTTTTAAGGTCACAATTTTGAACTCACCTTAGTTCATGTGAACTCTGCTGGAAGTTAAGAAACCAATCCTCCTCAAACGCTGGAGGAAATGGGCCGCACAGAATGGGAGGCAGAGGAGATGCCTTTTCTTTCTATGGCCTGAGCCTGCACACACCAGCTGGGCCCCCGAGTGCATGGTTGAATATGCAGCATGAGACCGAAGAGGGTCATGTGAAAATTCGCAGGCAACAGGGTTTTCCCCCACAAGGTGCTTCATTGTTACTCCAGTTCACTGGAACCTACTTCATTATTTTTACACTCTTACGAAATGCTCTCAACAAGAACTGCAACAGTAAAGAGAAGAAAGGAAGTATTTAGAAATATTAAGACAGAGGCGTGGTTGGGACCAAGCATCTTGCATTATCTTCTGCTGCAAGGGGGAGGAAAAGACTGAGCCAAGGGAATTTCTTACATTCTTCATGTATCTAGAGCCACACCACCCATGTGAAGGTCACATCAGACAGACACAGTGAGGTCATGGTGAGGTTGCTGACTTCCTCTAAATCGCCTCAATCTATGTATATTCCCTTTTCATGGCTTAATGTTAATGCTTGGAAAATGACAGAATGTGTTATAAGGTGGCCAAAGAACGATGTGGTTTCAGGTAGATGTATCTGAAGTCCCTTGGCACTCGGGGCAGTTTTCCAGGACATAGTTTGGTGGAAACAATGGCAGCAATGGTAACAATTATTCACAGGAGAAATTGTTTGTTTTTGAACTCGTACTTAATATCGTCATTGTTATCATTACGGTGTTTTGTCGCTGGCTCTTAAGCTTCCCTTGCCTCCTGTGTGGCTAAGAGCACTGAGAACACAAAGATAAATAGTACACAGCCTCTCTAAAAAAGCAGTTCTTATTCAGGTGTCCATGGATCCTTGACCTTGGATGGAATTCAGCAGCTTTGTGAACTTGTATGGAGAAAAAATTACATTTTCAGTGACCTCTAACTGCAATGCGTATTTCCTTCAGAGAGAAACCGTGATGGAAAACCATAGTAGCATTAGCTGTACCTGCGACCGCCACCAGGAAATGCACGGATTTTCATATTACATATCCTATCACAGCTATGTGCAGCTCTCTTGAAATATTGCATATACGTATCGCTCCTTTGAAACCATGGTAATTATTTGACCTACCGCTGGATATTATCGTTTAATACATCCGTAAAAAGGCACGTTATTATTACATCAAATATATGCTTTGGTAGTTTGATAACCATATGTCATGATCAAGTTTACTGCATACCTTATTCTGAGAAGTCTTCACAAGACTGCCAGAGGTGACTGAGGCACAACACAGGGTTAGGAACCCCTTTAGATGTACAGTTTCATGGGGGAGCTTGAAGTGGTGAGTGGTGGCTAGAAACATACCCAGAAGCAATAGGAACCCAAGGAGGAGCCTGACTCAGCCTCAGGAGATTCCTAAGCTGCATCCGGAATGAAGCATGAAGAGCAAGAGAAAGAAGCAGGAGGTCACTTGCAGGGAGGGAACGGAATGAGCACATGGGGCCTGAAACCACCAGACCTCCGTGGAAATGGCGAGTACTGAGTGTTAAATGCATGCTTGCTGTACTGAGTCTTGGTGGTTAAAGAATGAATCAGAGAGTCAGTTTAGTGGGTTGGTAAGCTCATTGTTTAGAATAATTTTTATGGGGACTTGGTGGACAGGGTTCCATTTCCTTGAATATAATTCAGTGGCATACAGTTTTTAAAAAAATTTTGTTTGAGAGAGAGAGAGAGAGCTGGGCACAGGGGGAGAGAGAGAGAGAGAGAGAGAGAGAGAGAGAGAGAGAGAATCTTAAGCAAGTTCTATGCTCACTGTAGAGCCTGATGCGGGGCTTGATTCCATGACCTGAGCCCAAACCAAGAGTCAGACACCCAACAGACTGAGCCACCCAGATGCCAGTAGTATACAATTTTTACAAACAGCTTTATTGATGTATACTTCACATACAATGAACGCAGATATGTGGTTCTGACGTGTGCATGCATTGTGAAAACATCACAGTCAAAATAAGGAATATCTCTATCACCCCTTCCCCCAAATTTCCCTAGAGCCCCTCCTGTCCCACCACCCTTCCCCTCCCCCGGCAACTGCTCATCTGTCATGTAGAGTCATTTGCTTTTCCAGAATTTTATGTGAATAAAAGCATACACAATGTACTCTTTTTTGCATTGGCTTTAAGCATAACACTTTTGAGATTCATCCACGCTGTTACAAATCAATAGTTCATTACTTTTTATTGCGAGTCGTATTTATTACAGAAGTGTGTACGTTGAAAAGGGGGTGCGGAACAACCGTTGTTTTCCTAATACAAAGTTTAAAGAGGGAGCGGGATCTCTAATGCTTATCAAATGGGAATATGGGTTAAAAATTGAGAAATGCTGGTCTGGAGTGTGGACAGAGCGCATTCCAGCCGAAGCTTTTGCCTACCGTCGATGTTACACTTGAGCACATTTGGAAATATTTTAGACCTGAAAGAAAGCATCGGGACATCAAAACAAGCACCACAGCTGAGCGGGCCTTTGCAACCACAGACTTTCTGATGAAAAGATTTGTGGAGACTGCCTAATGAAGTGTTCAGAAGGCATTCTGTGTGTCATCTGTTTTCCTGACGACCTCCTCACTGGGTAGATAAGGGGCAGGAATTATTTTCCGTGTTGCACAAATAGGAAATGAGGTATAGTGAGTTTGAGAGAATTATTACTCAAAATAGAAGTGAGTCAGGGGCAGATTGAGGACTGCACACGACTTCGCTTTATCCTCTAATCCTAGACTTGCTGGCAGGCCAGGCCCTAGGTTTTAAGAAAATACAATGATTTCACTTTCACTTTTGTGCTTGTGTGGGTTGTGATAGAATCTTTACACTGGAGGAGTTAATGGGGGGGGGTGTTGTTTTTTTCTTCTTCTTCCTTTTAAACATTTCCCCCTTTCCAACTTGGTTAATGCCAACGTCTGTGTTTACTCCATTCAGTTGAATTCAAATACCTGTTTTGCACGAGGCCCTTTTCCAGGCCCGGGAGAGGCACCCAGCTGGGTAAACCCTGGAGGAGCCTTAGAACAAAAGGGCTGAAGGAGAATTGAATGGTCTTGCTTACTGTCTTTCGAGTCATGGGAAATTTGAGAATCTGGTGAAAGTTATGGGTCCTCTCCCTCAAGAAACAAAACAAAACAAACCCAAAAAAACCCACATATGTGCACACACACACAATTTTGCAATAATTTTAGAGTGTTTGAAGCTTCTCCCTTCCACTCCCACTTGTCCGTAGAATGACCTGAGGGTATTTTTTGGCCTGAAATGAAAACAGTAATGCCTTGAAGGAAGCACAAAGCCATAGTCACTGACTAGAAAGAGAGATTAGAGATAAGATCCAGGTGGGTCAGAGGGGCTGGCGGGGCTGGAGGGATAGGCATGTTTGGAAACAGGCCTGTCTAGTTAGAGGGCAGGCATTCATCTCTATGAGGCAGGATTCTAGCAGAGGGAAGGAGGGTGGGAAGTAGGAAAACTCAAACAATCCGACAGTTTGGCAGGAGGAAGATTATATGGTGAGGAATCATCGGAATCATTAGAAACCATAATAGAAAGATAGAGGTCTTATTGTGAGTGACATTGGAAGCAAGGTGAGTATTTTCTCCCCCCGCCTCCCCCCGCACCACCCTGAGTGAAATATCTGCATTTTCTTTTATTTATTTATTTTTTCACATAGGGGTTCTGGAGTATGAATAGTACACACTCACTCTAATGAATTAAGGAAGTAACAAAAATCAGAAATTCTCAAATCATATTATCTGATCTCTATTAATAGTTGGTATATTTTGTTCTGGTTTATGAACATCCTCATTCCTCATCACCGGCTCACTCGGACCGACCACCCTTGTTATAAGTCTTGTAAATTTACCACAGTTTTTATAACTCTTCTTTCTTTATGTTTTTTTTTTTTTAAGATTTTTTTAATGATTATTTTAGAGAGAGAAAGTGAGTGAGCATGGGAGGGGCAGAGAGAGAGAGGAGGGGGTTAGATGATCTGAAGCAGGCTCTGTGTTGACAGCGGAGGGCCCAATGTGGAGCTCAACTCACAAACCATGAGATCATAACCTGAGCGGAAGTCGGACGCTTAAGGGACTGAGCCACCCAGGCGCCCCTCTTTGTTTTTTTTAAAGCACAACAAACATTTTATACAAATATTGTTCTTAATTTTTTAAGGTTTTTTTTTTTTTTTTGAGAGAGAGAACACAAGAGTGAGAGTGGGGAAGGGGAAGTGAGAGAGGAGACAGAGAGAGAATCCCAAGCAGGCATCACTCTGTTAGCACCAAGCCCAATGGGGGCTCAAACCCACAAACTATGAGATCATGACCTGAGCTGAAATCAAGAGTCAGATGCTTAACCAACTGAACCACCCAGGTGCCCCTGTTCTTAAAAACAAAACAAAACAAAAAAAACACACAAAAAAATCAATCAAACAAAACTATTATTACTTTAGGATAGATACACAGAGGAGGAATTATTGGTCAGTGTGTATGACCTTCTTTGGAACACAGTAAGCTTATATTAGTAAGCAGCTCTCTGAATGGTTATCTGCCTCTTCTCTTACTTTCTTCTGTTTATTTACTTATTTTCTTTCAGTATCCTTTGCTCCTTAGCTTGTTTCATAAATACTGGAGCTCCCCACATCCCCACCTGTCCTGGGCCCTTTCGTACTGAATACATTCTCTTCTTGATTCTCATTCACAATAAACATGTGTCGACTGCCTATCATGTACCAAGTATTGTGTTTAACATCATGACGTGTAATTATCACCACATCCCTGTCACATGATGATTAATATCTTCATTTTCAGATGCAGACACCAGAAAGGAAGGTTACTTTCCCAGTGTCATGACCCCAAAAGCTCTTGGGGAACGTCTCTATGTCCAGCACCTTACGTCTGCACCTGCAGCTTCCAAGTCTCTACTGAGCAGCCCGTTCCTGGTGCCCTTTCCCAGCCAGGGTTCCCGCGGGTGCCCTAGACTCAATATGTCAAAACTCAACTTCCAACTCTTACCTGCAAACTAGCTCCCTCATTGCATTAGTAAGTCCCTAACCCACCCTTAACAGTTATCTTTTCTTTTACCTATCCCTAATCACCCTACCTGGGTTTTATGCATCAGTTCCATGTCCATGTCGTCACCATATCCTCCCAGCCATGCAGACATCACGATTCCAAAACATGTAGCGCAGCTGACACCTGGGTCTCCCTGTCTCCACTTCCTTCTCACCATTCTTACTACTGGCAAGTTGAGCAAACACATTTCTAAAACTTATCATGGTATCTCCCCACCTTAAAAACCTTCAGTGGCTTTTCTTTACCTTCAAAATAAAATTCAAGGTTCTTAGCATGACGTCTCCGTGCGACGGTCGCCATCCCCCTCCCCTCTTGTCTGCTGCTTTCCCTTTACTGTGCTCTGGTTTCCAATCCCAGGGAACTACTTGAAGTTATAACAAATGGGATCCCTGCTCCCTCCTTTCCCCTTGACCCTGTAAACACCCATCCCCCACTTCTCCTGGCTGACTCCTTTTATCTCTCAGATCTGACTTTGGAGGTAGGACCAGGAGGTCTTGCCTCCCTTCTCTTTCCTCACCCTCCTGGCTGCCTCCAGCATGCCTGACTCCTTCACAGAGATTATCAGATTTTATTTTAATCCTCTGATTACTATTGTGTTTTTCCATTTCCTTGACTAAGACTTTTGAGAGCAGAGCCTGAGCTATTTGATCATCTTTGTATCCCCATAGACTCCATAGATGCTCAGTAAATGTTTGCTGAATCAGTTGTAGTGTTTCCCCCAAGCCTCAGGGCACTCAGTGGGCATCCGATAGCGGTGTTGTCTTACCTGTAGGGCAAAATAAAATTGAGACTTTGCAGATTTGACTTTATAGGAGCATACTGCAAAAGTCCCTGAATAAAGGGGCGCCTGGGTGGCTCAGTAGGTTAAATGATCAGCTTCGGCCCAAGTCATGATCTCATAGTTCATGAGTTCAAGCCCCACGGCAGGCTCTGTGCTGACAGCCCAGAGCTTGCTTGGGATTCTTGCTTTCTCCCTCGCTCCTCACTCTCTGCTCCCTCCTCCACTTGTGTTTTGTCTCAAAATAAATAAATAAGCTTTAAAAAAAGTCCCTAAATAAGAATTCATTTGACTAGTGTCTTGAACTGTAAAACTATTGTTCAGTTTTAGTCAGAAAGCTGTTACTGGTAACCTCCTACACCCCCAATTTAGTGGCTTAACACAACCATGTGTTTAGTCCGTGATTCTGTGGTCAGGTGACTCTGGTCTGGGCAGGTCAGCTGATTTCTCCCGGGCTTGCTTCATGTCTAGAGTCAGCCAATGAGTTAGATGGTGGCCAAATAACTAAGGAAGTCCTTGTGATAGGTCTCCCAACTGGCCAGAGAGCCTTGGGGTGTCTCCATGTTTCTTCTCCTCCAGCCGGCTAGCTCAGGCTCATCCACATGGTGGTGTCAGGGTCCCAGATACCTCAGGAGAGGAAACCCTCACTGGGGAATTAAAGTCACCACTTGCATCACATTTTTGTTCACGAGTCACAAGGACATAATAGACTCTACCTTTTGATGGGAAGTGCAATAGCACACTCCAAGAAGAGAATCTGTGGTCATTTTTCCAAACACCTCCCTGGTCACTGAACACATAATTTCCACAGTATCTGATAGATACTTAGCACTTAATAAAAATATGGATTTGTGTGTGATTTGTTGGCCACATACACACTTTGGATTGAAGTATGCCTAGGAAAAATTGAGTTCCAGTTTATCTTATTTTTGGATCCTCGATATTAGTGTTATACAGAATACAAGTATTGCAGAGCTATTAATAAAATGTTAACATCAATACCTCAAATGGATTTTTGGAAATGGGAGTTATTGAAGAATATTGAATTTAATGTAGAATTGAATTAATTAAGGATAATGGCCAAAAGCCTGATTGTATTGGACTAGTGCCTGGTATGGATCAAAAGCTACAGGAAAGTTTGGTTTGCATTTAAAAAATATCTTGCACACAACTCCATATCTTTATGCCTTGTGTCATTTCTATGCAGAATACCTACTTACTAGAATTATTTCATATTTCTAAAATTGTTCTCTGTTTTTGGTCGGGTTACAATTTTAGCTGCCTACCATGATTACAGGCATACCTCATTTTATTGTACTTTGCTTGGTTGTGTTTTGCAGGTAATTGTGTTTTTTACAGATCGAAGTTTCAAGACTTCAGTGGGGGAAGTAACAGCAGATGTGAATATTAGCAAGAGAACTGGAATTAGCAGTGGAACTGGAAGATGGGACTGAATTGTTGTGGTCTCATGATAAAACTTGAATGGATGAGGCATTGTTTGTTAAGAAGGAACAAAAAAGAAAGTAGTATTTGAGATGGAATCTACTGGTGAAGATGCTGTAATGATTGCTGAAATGATCACAAAGGATTAGAATTGACATGGACTGCGTTAATAAAGCAGCAACAGGATTTGAGAAGATTGACTCCAATTTTGAAAGAAGTTAAACTGTGGGTGAAATGCAATCATTTCTACATCTCACAGATAAATCACCCATGAAGTCAATTGATGTGGCAGACTTTATGGTCAGTCAGTAGCCATCAGTACTGAGGCGACACCCTCCACCAGCAAAAAGATTATGATTCTCCCAAATCTCAGATGATGGTTAGCCTTTTTTACCAGTCTTTTTTAATTAAGATGATTGTTTTCGGCTTGATGTTATTGCACACTTAGTAGCGCACAGTATAGTGTAAATAGAGCTTTTATATGTACCAGGAAACCAAAAAAAAAATATTTGAGTTACTTTATTTGCCTGTATTTTTCTGGTAGGTGTGCTAGATTTGGGCCACAAAACAATGGCAGAAATAAGGAGCAAGGTGAATGGTGTTTCTCATTCTTGCATGCAAACATCCATCCATCCCACTAACACAGATGATGCACTACTTACACAGCAGTTGTTGCCATAGGAAGAAGAATCAAACAAAATTCCCTGCCTCCAGAAGTTCAAGGTTGATGCTGGGGAGAGACACATAAATATAGTCTCAGAAACAAGTGCTAATAAAATTTTACATACTATGCAATGGAGCCTAAGTTTTTAACATTGCTTTTTGTTTGTTTGTTTGTTTTTTGAAACATTGGTTCTTTTTAAAAAAAATTTTTTTTAACATTTATTTTTGAGAGAGAGAAAGAGCATGAGCTGGGGAGGGGCAGAGAGAGAGGGAGACACAGAATCTGAAGCACACTCCAAGCTCTAAGCTGTCAACACAGAGCCCAATGCGGGGTTTGAACCCCGCAAGCTGTGAGATCATGACTTGAGCTGAAGTTGGACACTTAACCGACTGAGCCACCCAGATGCCCCTAAACATTGGTTCTTAATATAGGAATACAAAGCTAACAAGCAACTCCCGTATTTTTATCAAGGACATCCACCCAGGTATTTATTCATTAGGTCTTAGTGGAGCCAAAGTATTTGCATTTTGAAAATGCGTAAGTGGTCTCGGGGTGGGGACTCATACTTAAGAACAAATGTTTTATAAAATGCTAGTGTACAGTTTAGGTATGACAGTGTGTTTTAATTAAGCTTGGAAGGGAAGGGTGGCCACATCTTTTACTTCTTAGAATAGACTTAGTATCATTACTAATTAGCCATCATCATTACAAGGTAATGCATACTCTAGAAAATGTATGAAATGTATAAATGTTAATGTATACAAATGTATAAAAAGAAGAAAATAAAAACTAGTGATAATCCTCCCACCCAGATGATCACTAATAACACTTTCATGAAAATTCTTTCACATTTTTCCTGAAAACATGCCACAAATGATCATAGCTTTTTGTACGGACTGCTTTTTTCGTTTAATATATTGTGATCATATTTTCAAGTTATTAACTAGTCTTCTATGGTATGTTAAGCAGTTCAATAGAATCTGTTGTACTTACTGTATTTATTTATTTTATTTTTTTAAAGCTTTATTTTTGAGAGAGAGAGTGAGACACAGAATCTGAAGCAGGCTCCAGGCTCTGAGCTGTCAGCATAGAGCCCAATGCAGGGCTCGAACCCACAAACAGTGAGTTTATGACCTTAGCTGAAGCCAGATGCTTAACCAACTGAGCCACGCAGGTGCCCCTGTTGTACCTACTTTAAATTGCATTATTTCACTAATATCCCATTCTTGGTGCTGTGGATGCGCAGATGAGTAAGACATGGATGTTGTCCATTAGGAGTTTTTGGTCTAGTAGAAGAGACATGTGTAAAAAATATAACACAACTTAGGGCTTGCTATAAAGAACACCTTATTTTGTTACCTTGACAAATCCAGATCTGCAGAATCCAGAATCTGCAGAATGTCCCTCGATTTGGCTTTGTTTCCTCCTGAGTAGATTTCAGGTCATGCATTTCTGTTGAAAATCTATGCAGGTGAGTTTGCATATCTCAGTACATCACTTCCTGTGAAGTCAGTGCAAGGCCCGATCACTTGGTGCAGAAGCATTTGACCTGGCTTGTTTACTGCAAAGGCACCTGTCCCCTAGACAATTAGCAAGTAGTCTGTTGGCAGATACATAGAGTTTGTGTGAATATCCTTTCTTCCAGTGGCCTTTCAGCCCCTGGTTTTAGCCAGAGTCCATTGTTCCGGTGATAGCTGTAGACCAGCGGTTTTCTAGTAGATCATGATGTCTACGTTTGTTTGTTAGCAGGCTGTGATGTCATGTAGCCAAGTTCATTCAGGAATCATCTGAGCCTGCCAAATGTCACCTTACTTGGAAAAAGGGTCTTTGCTGATACAGTTGAGGATCTTGAGATGAGGAGATTATTCAGGTGGACCCTAACTTTAATGACAAGTGTCTTTGGCAGAGGGAGATTTCAGACAGGAGAAGACACAGAGAAGGGGGCAATGTGAGAGATGGGGGTGGGGTAGTCATTAGGCGAGAAATGCTGACGGCCGCCAGAGCTGAAAGAGGCAAAGGTTGGATTCTCCCTGAAGCCTCTGTAGAAAGTACTGCTTGCTGACACCTTGACTTTGAACTTCCGGCCTCCAGAACTACATTTCTGTTTTTTAGGCCACTTGATTTGCAGCATTGTGTTATTACCGTTACAGGAAACTAATACAAAGATAGAAAGTGTTGTCTTTGCCTCCCTGAAATGGTCTAATTTCATTATCCTGTCCATTTCCTCTATGCCGAATATCCAACCTGAAATGATCTTGTTTATTATCTGGATCTCCTGCTTAGAACATGTGATTCCCAAGGGCAGGGAGTTTGCTTGTTTCCCTTCCATGCTGTATTCTCAGCAGCACTTAGCATAGTCTCTGGCAGAAGGTAGATACTCAAGAAATATTTTGTCGTCTCCCTACTTCCTCATCTACTTGTCTCTTACATTTCCTAAAGCCAGGGTTGTCAAAGTAGTGCAAAGATCAAATCCAGCTGTCACCCGTTTTCATAGGATTTATGAACTAAGAATGATGTTTCTGTTTAAAATATTTTTTTAAGTTTTTATTTATTTCTGAGAGAGAGAGAGAGCGTGAGCAGGGGAGGATCAGAGAGAGATGGAGACACAGAGTCTGAAACAGGCTCCAGACTCTGAGCTAGATGTCAGCACAGAGCCGGACACGGGGCTCGAACCCACGAACTGTGAGATCATGACCTGAGCCAAAGTTGAACGCTTAACTGACTGAGCCGCCCAGGCGCCCCATGATGTTTCTGTTTTTAAATGGTTGAAAAATACAGGGTGCCTGGGTGGCTCAGATTGAGTGTTCGACTCTTGATTTCAGCTCAGGTCATAATCTCATGGTTCATGAGTTCGAGTCCCGCATCAAGCTCTGTGGTGACACAGCAGATCCTGTTTGGGATTCTGTCTCTCTCTCTGACCCTCCCCGGCTTGCTCTCTATCTATCTCTCAAAATAAGTAAAAATAAAGACTTTAAGTGGTTGAAAATTAAAAGAAGGATAATTTGTGATGTGCAGATTATACACACTTCAGATATCTGTGTATGAATATTAAGATTTTTGGAACATGACCACATCCATTTATTTACATCTAATCTATGGCTGCTTTCAAACTGTACTACAGAGTTGAGGAGTTGCAATAGAGTTTATGTAAACTGAAAAGCCTAACATATTTACTCTCTGGCTCTTCACAGGAAGACTTTGCCCAACCCTGTCCTAAAGGATGAACAGGAATTGTTTGAATACTAATAGTCTCTCTGCTTCTTTACCTCAGTTATTAATGTGCATGTTTAACTCTTTTACATTCAAACATCTATTTATTCAACAAATATTGACTGAGCATCCATTTCTTCTTCTACCAGGTAAGTCAAAGCACAAGCTTGGACTGTCCATCGCAGTTGCAGGAGATATGTTCAGAGCACTGGGGGTGTGTGGCCCCAGTCATGGAGACTGAATTTGTGTTAATCCGTTGGCTCTGTACCTTTCTATCAAGGTAGCATATGGTGGCCATCAAACAGGAAGAAACCCCATGCATCTCATGGAGCTTAACTCCAGCCTCTGACAGAATCAGTATTGAAGGCAGTAGGTATTGAAGTGTAGGCAGGCTCTCGTAAATGGATATCTGTTCCTTAGATGTGTATTTTCTAATCCTTTTCAGTTTGGGTCTCGCCTGTTACTTTGCTAGGCTTAGAAGCTCTGATCTCTGCATTTGCCTATCTGTCTTCTTCACCTCAGTGTAACTACATCTAAAATATTTGCAAGTGCCCTTTTAAATTTTTTATTAAAAATTTTTAAATGTTTATTTAATTTTGAGAGAGAGAGACAAAGCAGGAGTTGGGGAGGGGCAGAGAGAGAGGGAGACACAGAATCTGAAGCCGACTCCAGGCTCTGGGCTGTCAGCACAGAGCTGGATGCAGGGCTCAAACCCACAAACTGTGAGGTCAATGACCTGAGCCAAAGTTAGACGCTTAACCAACTGAGCCACCCAGGCGCCCCACTGCAGGTGCCCTTTTTCCTTTTCCACCATTTCCTCTCCTCTGTCCCAGCTGTTACAACTGCATAGCTAAGAAGGAGGGTCAGAGGAAGGAGGAATAATGGCAGTCAATGTTTATTAAGTACACAGAGCAGCATTCTTAGTGTTTTCGTATGCATTGTCATTTTTAATCTTTTCATTAAAATCTTTTCTTTAAAAGGTGGGCACCTTTATTGTTCTTCCATTTTACAGATGAAAAACTGAGCCTCGGAGAGGCAAAGCAATTTGCCCGGGGTAACACTGCTATTAAACAGTGGAGGCTGAAATTTGAACCCGGGCAGTTTGATCTTGGATCAAGCTCTTCCCTGCTATGGTAACAGGACACACACATTGGCGTCTAACAGGAAAGCAGGGCGGGTGGAAAACATGGGTGCCTTCCTTTTTTGGTAGTGGCATTTTGGTAACTCCCTCAGTTCAAACCCCAGGTGCCCCACATCGCTGGAGGACCCTTTTCTATCAAAGGGACTTGAGAGCCCTAACAGACCAGAAATGGGATAAAGACAGAAAGACTGATAAATGGGCTTTCTGCGGGTGTGGGGATAGCATTACTTTGCAAAGCTCAAACATCTTGATAAACCAGGATGTTTCTCGACTCAAACCATGATTGTCCAGAATATCAGGGGCCATAAATTTAGCAGAACTGACCAGACCAGCAGGGCCTGAGGCGTCTGTGGAATGTTAATCATGTTACTGGGAAAACAGGAGTGGTCAAATAAGTAGGGGGAATGTTGAGTTAAACAAAGTAGAGCAGGATTCTTGATAGTAGATTTCTGTGACCCTCCAACGAGGGATATCGTACAAAGCGGTGACTGGACTTGGGCGACATGCTGATGCCCCCCTCATGGGAAAGGTGTTCTGGGGAGCTTGTTCGGGTAGTGACAGGTTAGGTCGTACATTTTCTCTCTCCAGTTTAGAAAATAATCCCACCATGTTTAGAAACTACAGAAAACCCTGTGTCTTGTGTTGGTTTACTGCTCAGCGAGGAAGGAGAATGGAAGACGCCCTGTTTCTAGATACTGGGAAAACTTTGTTAGAAGGGATGTTGAAATTAATAATACAGGGGCGCCTGGGTGGCTCTGTCGGTTAAGTGTCCGACTTTGGCTCAGGTCATGATCTCACAGTCTGTGGGTTTGAGCCCCGTATCAGTCTCTGTGTTGACAGCTCAGAGCCTGGAGCCTGTTTTAGTCTGTGTCTCCCTTTCTTTCTGCCCCTCCCCTGCTCACACTCTCTCTCTCTCTTTCTCTCAAAAATGAATAAACATTAACCAAATTAAAAAAAATTAATAATACAAAATTAGATTAAATGGTTTTTGAGAGCCTTTCAGTTATTCAACAGTGATATCTCAGTTACAATTAAAGTAAAACGGAACCTCTCTCAAGGGTTAATGTCTTACAGTATTTCGGTTTGCCTAAACCTTTATATATTTCTTAAACACCGAGTGAGACTTCAGAATATAAAGCACGCTTAGTTTCAAACGATAACTGCAATTCACATTTATGTGACTAAGATGTAGGATTGGTACCTTTGTGTTCTGGTAGAGTCAGCATGGAAATATGTGGAATTTTCTTGTAGCTTTCAGGAAATAAGGTGTCATTGTTAGGACGGTTTCCTGTCATAAAAAATTCTCTAATTTGGTTTTAAAATAGCAGCCTTAGATCTTGTTTTTGACTCAGAAATCTATAGGAAATCTAAAACTGAATGTTGTTTGTGTGTATGTGTGTGTGTAAAAGAATTTTCCATAATTTCCACAGACAAGAAACAAGAGGTTTCTATTCCTGGTCGTGCACAATTGTAATGACGTAAATATTTACAACGTGCACATGTGAGGACGAACGGACACTGAAAGTAGGGAAACTCTGTGTTGACTTTGGCGATGGGCTACGTGTGCAGAGAACCATCCTTCACTTGCCGCCATTTCCACAAGGCCCAGTCCTGAGAGTTGGACACCCCAGCCGCCTTAAGGCTGTCATCTATGGCTGTCGAAGATTGTTGGTTTGTTTGTTTACCTGAAACTTCTTTGGCTCCGATTTTGTTACAAGCTTCCACTTAAAAACAGAGCCAAAACATTTCTGGTTGGATGGAACAATGACTTATTTCTCTATACAAAAAGTAGTTTGTCCCTAGTCCCTTTATGTAAAGTGTCAGGAAAAGAGTCTTTCCAGTGTGACTAAAGAAGTTAAATATTGAAGACTAAAAACCTAATTAGAGAGCTCTTGGGGAAAAGAAAAACCCCCAGAATGCCAGCTGGGGAGGAAGTGCTGTTCCTACATGAAGAAGGCCAGAGGCACGCGCTTTAGGAAGGGGGGCTGGGGCTGAGGCTCCCTGAGAGCTGCTGGCCAGGGAACCCCTATCCTCAGGATCTCACAGCCCAGTTCTCCTCTCTCTTCTTCCCCCTTTCCTCCCTCTCTCTCTGTTTCTTTCTTTCTTATTATTTTTAAAATTCCTTTTAAGTTTATTTATTTTGAGGGGAGAGTGGCAGAGAGAGAGACAGAGAGAGAGAATCCCAAGCAGGCTCCACACTGTCAGCACAGAGCTCAACGTGCGGCTCAATGCCGTGAACCAAGATCATGACCTGAGGTGAAATCAAGAGTCAGGTG